TTAACTTTCTTTTTCCTTGCCTTTCAATTTGAGCTGGAATTGTCAAAATGCCACCTATGACAAAGTATGATCAGCAGAATGTCCCAATGGCCTATGACATATACATGGATGGAAATAAATTTTCTCAATTTAAAACTTAAAATTCAATTTACTTTGTTTTCTAGAACAAGCAGTATTGTCTCCATCTCCTAGTTAATACTAATAAAGTATAGCTATGAGGGCAGTTCCTAAAAAAGTTTTGTACTTTTCATTAAAGTATTTTTCATCTTAGTTGGACAGAGGGTCTTTAATCTATTCTTTTCAAAATTAAAAGAGCAGCCAGAAATACACAAGGAGCTGGTTTTATTTTTTGAATTAAGTGCAAATGAGAAGCTTTAAACATTTTGTAAGACAACAAGATGTTAAATCTTTAACCATTTAATATTTTTCCAAAGTTCAAAAGCATAAATAAAAATCTAATTTTAATATTAAGTATATTTAGACCGGGTGTGGTGGCACACACCTGTAATCCTAACACTCGGAGGCTGAGGCAGGAGGATTGTTGTGAGTTTGAGGCCAGCCTGGGCTACAAAGTGAGCTCAAGGCCAGTGTGACTTGTGGAGAGAGACCGTATCTCAAAAAGAAAAAAAAAAAAAAAGAAAAGAAAAAAGCATTAAATATATTCAACTTTTTGATTCATAAATATTTATTACTCCTAATATAACTAAATATTTCCCTGTAAAGGATTTAAAAAATTTAGACTCTGATTTCTACTTTTATTTCAATACAGATACAGTACTGAATTAGATACTTTAATATAAGTACATCATCAAATCAAATAAAATTGATCAGTGATCAAGGAAAACAATTTTCTTCACATATATTTAATTTTTAATTAAAATCTCATGTGATCATTTGAGGATTAATTAAAAAACATGTAGCTTTTAAAAGTTCTTTTCCTTATATTACCAAGATAACAGCAATTCTTTATACTAAAGTTATTTATTAACAAATTTAGTTAGTGACATTGAGATGGGATCTTAAGGATAAAATTTTTATGCCAGATAATTTATGGTATTAATATTTTTTACTAGTCTGTTGTTAAAACTGAAAGCAAATCAAAGTGTGTATTATTAGCCATATATCAGATCATTTATAATTCCTAATAAGTTATGTCATTTGGCTCATTTAATCAAAATGACAAAGAAATTTCTAAATGACTTTATACTGCCAGTGACATTAGATGTTCAATATAAGCACTTCACTCATGTCATCTATTTATATTTTTTGGTACCCAAAATGCTAACAGTCTTGATAATCGATAGTTGTATCTTACAAAGCAGAAACCACATAGAATAGTAGAAAAGACCTGTGGAGCCTAGAGATGGCAATACTAGCAGTGGTGTTTACAATGAATGACAACCTGAAACAAAAGGATTTTAACATTTCTACTAAATACATGAAAGACCTAGGAAGTGTAAGATACAGCATCACTTAGAACAGAAGCATAGAGTTCCATGCATTGTGGTAACTTCTGATGGTTCTACCATGAAGCATACTGAAACTAATTGTAGTTCAATGTCAAGCATCCTCCAAAACAAAAACATATGCTTATTTATCTTACACTGATCTAATAAATACATAAAAAGTAATTGTAAGTGACACAAAAATATAAATTTAAATCTATTTTGCAGGATTGACATATAGTAATTTTATATATTTATGGGGTACAATGTGATCTTTCAATATATGCATATAATTTGTAATACTCAGGTCAGGAATGTTTGCTTGTCTTTTACATCAGTCATTTCCTTGTGTTGGGGAGCATAGAGGTTAAGCTTAATTGTGTCCACTTATTGGTTTAACAAATACTCAGGGAAGTAGTTCAACACACGTTTCAGTATGCCTGGGTCAGTTTTGGAGGCATGACCTCAGGTATTATAAATGGCGTCTGGCCTGTTCCTCTCTGGCCCTATTCCCCTGCTCCACTCCCTGGCCAGCATGAACAAAGTAGATGTGTTAATACCAGGCCCTTCTACCATGATATTTCTGACTTGGAAACTCCACTAAAGCTGGGAGACAAATCAACCATTCTTCATTTAAATTGTGAGTGGTAGGTTTTGTTTCTCAGTGACAGGAGTGAATTAGTACAGAAACACTCAGTAAATTAGTACAGAAACACTCAAAATCTTCTCTACCAGCTATGTTGAAACAGTCAGTTCATTACTATCAACTATAGTTAGCCTACAAACTAAACAGAAAAACTAAACAGAAAAATTAGAAGATATCCCTCCTATCCAATTTTACCCTGTAGTCAATGATCATTCTGCCTCCATCTCCTCCTCCAGACTTTTTCTAAGGTCTGCCAGAAGCTGGGGTGGGTGGATAGCAGTGTCAAAGGTGTGGCCAAAGTTAGTATCATTGATAAGACAACATTTGAGCAGCTGACTCAAGGATCTAAGTTTTAACTATGTGGCTGTTATTGTTACAGAGTTCTGAGAAATGGCTTTAATATGTTGACTGTTACAGGTAAGTGAACATAAATTCTAATTCATGGACTAACTCAATATACACTAATTCAAAATACAAAATCTAAGTGAATGAAAACAAGTACATTCTTCAAAATGTATTGCAAGTTCTGTAAAAATTGCCTTTAAATTCCTATATTTTGTGGTGTTGAGTATTGCATTTAACAAAGTGAGTACTCTCTAAGCATTTATTAAAATATATATCCATTGAAAAGATAGTTAAATTCAACTTATTAGAAGAAAAATTATGTAAGAGTCTATCTACTTCAGTCTTAAAGGATATTGATAAAAGGATAGTTTCCAGAAAAACTTGCAGTAAAGAAAAACAATTTCTCTTTCCTAAATTGTATAAAAACTATGGCTATTGTTTGTGGCTTTATATTTAAAAGTTCCTTGCAGTTTCTTACTAGAAACATATATCTGGGAAGAAAATTAGGAAGGGGAACATTTCTCCCAAAAGTTTATAAATGCCATGACATTTTGGTTGAAAATTCCACATGAGAAATTCCAGAAGCAGATATAGATACTGAGTGAGTAAAAGTAATGACAAGTCATATTCCATATCATTTCCAAATACAACATGCTTTGTACAAATTCACTTTTCTTAAAGTTTTTAGTAACTATTTTTGCCTCCTTTGTAATCAAATTTCTTAAATCAAACTCCAGGAAATATGATTTCAGGCACTTTTCAAATCTAGGATATTTTAAATATCAATCATTTTTACACAAAATTATAATAAGTAAAAAATGATGTTTCCTAATTTTGTGATGTTTATTTTTAAGGAAATCCAACGAACTTACATTATAAGGACTGTTTTTCACTTTTATTTGGATATAAATTCACTGAACATCACAGAAAACCAACATGAGTTGCAAAAAAAGAATATCTCATTTGGAATAATAAAATTGACACCTTGATATTCCACAGGCTTCATGTTACATGCAACAGTTTTGGTAAAATTATGATATTTTTCATATAGATTTATGCATTCACTGAATAGTAAAGTTGTCCAATGGTTATATGGAGAAAGGTCTATTATGTAATATAAATTATAAAAAAGGTCCATATGCAGATGACTGACAGACTGATAAGAAGGTAGTTTCTGAACTGTTGAAAAATTGCAGTAAGTAGGAGGTGGCCTGTGAATGTGTTTTGAGTTTTTAATTCAATTTTCTGAGTCAATATTGATTATGAAAAAATAAATTCCTCAAGGTAAATGGAGTATTTTTAGGTTCTAAGTTTGGTTTCTTAGATGAAAAAAGTTAAAGAAATGGGCATATATTTTTAAAGATGATAAACAGTAGTTTTACAACCTCTTTCGTTAAGATAAATAATGATTCCTCTTTGTGCAATAGACCAAATTAACCAATACCCCAGTCAATGTCCAGGAATCAATCTAGCAGTTTACATGAAACTTGTTAGGGATTGGGGACAGCTCAGTGGTAGAGTGCCCACCTGACACGTGTGAGGACCTGAGTTTGATTCCTGGTGCCAAAAACAAAGAAAAAGAAATTTGTTACCTTAAACTTCATTCTGTGATCATTTTTGATGTGTCAAGAGGCTAGGATAGAGTTCCAGTTTTCCTACCAAATATTTATGTAGATGTTGCTGTGAAAATATTTTGGGGACGTAACTAAAGTCCACACTTAGCTGATTTTAAGTAAAGAAGATAATCTGCATGAGCTGGATTCAGCCAGCCAGAAGGCTGTAAAAATGGAGTAAGACTTCAGCGAGAGAAGCAAGTGCTTATGTTTAGCAGTTGCAACTCATGATGGGAGAGTTTCATCTTCTCTCTCTGCTGGGTTGTCCTTCCAATTTCAGGCCTAGCTAGCCTTCACAATTATGTAACATCATTCTTCATGATAAATCTCCTATTATTTACAGCAACTCTCTCGGTTCTGCTTTTCTGGCTGACTGATACCAATCCAAGATGTAAAAATACAGTAATGGAAGAGAAAAGTAAGTCATCATGACTGGAAATACCATATTACAGGCTGTGTCTACACGTGCCAAGAGCTTCAAGCAAGACAGACACTTGTATGCATGTGCATATTGCTACACACACAATCTTCAATAAAATCAGTAGGTTCCCAAACACTCATATCCTATGTTTAACAGACCAGAAAGTTTGTACAGATTTTTATCTATCAAAAGCATCAACAAAAGGAGACCAGAACTCAGTAGCACATTCTAAATACCAAAGCAGTTCATAGAAGGAGCCATGCCACAATCCTTTCACCAAAGACATTGTACACATTTTGAATCAGAACAATTATCTTTAAAAACCAAAAATTTTTATCGCTGGAAGATGATAGCTGTTGCATGTCCAACCAAAAGAAAAGAGCTTTTACCTTTTGTAACAGTAGTTCGGTATTCTCACCATACTGATAAACTACATAAGGACATTTTTCAAACATGCAAACAGTATTTTTTCAGTCAAGTCAGGTCTAGGTAAATTAATGCTAAAACCGTTCCCTGCTTCCCTTCCTTACCTGGACTGCATATCTTGCTGTGTTTTGACCTGACTGGGTTCCGGAGGAGGCGATGTGTGAGTGACTCGTTGCTGAAGTTCCACCAAAGACTGGTAATACTGCTGCTGTCGGTGTTGCTGCTGCTTGTAGCGAGACAGACTGAAAAACAGCCCTAGAATGGCTTTTAAGTTTCCATTTCTTATTTCTGTATCAAACAGAAAACATAAAAACAGTATCATACAAATTGAAGGTGTATTTATACAAATGAAATTCTAGATGCAAGCCCTCTGAACTAAATCTATGAAATTAGAAATACAACTTGACCTACAACCTCACAGTTTCCAACGAAGCAGAATTTCTATAACATGCCAGCATTTCCAAGTAGCTTGGAAGTCTCCAGGAGAGAGTAAAGGGATGGTGGGTACAGAAAACAAAGCTCACTCAATAGAAATGCTTTTTGCTGGCCCTGAACTACAATTTTCCTACTTAACTTCTTGGAAATGGATGCTCTTGTCCTCTTGTGCTAATTATTTGATGTAGCACTCCACTTCCTTCACAGATATACACAGCCGTTACCAATATAGCAGTGGCTATAAACTGAAGAAAGCAAGTTGCTTGAATGCTGGTTGTCTTGCACTTAGAGATACTAATGTGTGGGAGTGCATCGTAATACATTTGTATTTATAACACTCAACATTCTTTCTGGATCACCCACTAACCCATTTATACATACATGCATACATACATACATGCACACATACATATATACATCTTCCAAATACACATACACATCTTTCAAAGAGCAGCCTAGAGCAGGCCAATTTTTAATGTTTAAATAATTTCATTGTTAATTTATGTTCTATATTATTAAAGAATAAAAATTAGTGTACATGACATTAAGTAACTAAATAAATTTAAGTATAAATCCTAAATCTAATAGCTAAGGCACCTGTGTAAGCTTTTGTCATACCAAGTAATGTAAATTCACAAGGTCAGCTACAATATGATCCTACTCTTTTCTTCTGTAGCTATCATTTAACATGAATAGAGAAGTAATAAAGCCTGAAATAAGGCTATACAACTTGTGATCATATCATAAATACTATTTACTTTGGCAATAAAACACATCCCCTACTGTGGTCATGGTTTTATTACCCCTTCCGACCGTTAGGACCACTCACTATGCGGGCTTCTTGTTTTCTGACAGTTCTTCATGTCCCCAAACTATGAAGGGGGATGAGTCGTATAAATGTACCTTTGAGTTGTTCTTTTTTCTTTGAGACCTTCCTTACACTTTCCGTAACAGAATTGCATCGATCAAACTCAGGCCACAATAGAAAGCATTGTTTCTGTCCTATAAACCTAAGAGATTATTTTTCAAGAGATTTTTCTTGTTTTGTTATATATGCTCGCTTGATGTACAGCATCCTTTTTGAGCATCTAAATACTTTTACATAATGGCTGAAAATCAATAGGATTATACATATTAATAATGTCATGTGGGAAGGAAGAGGCACGAAGAAGTGAAAGTATTTATAGCCTGCCTATAGCCACTTGGAAAATGCAAGATTATCCTGGAGAACATCACTCAAATTTTATTCTAAATGACAGAACCACCAGTAAGGCTTAAGTTAAAGCCTTTTGGTCATTAAATGTATAATTTAATCATATACCCCTGTATTATAGTATATACATATAAAACAATTTAAAATAAAAGAAAATTTAAACATAGAATAATATCAAATAATTAATTTCAAAAGAACATATTTTCTTTTATTGCAAGGAAGTTTAACAATTTCAGAGTCTAATATTTCCAATAGCAGCAAAAGCTGATTTTCAAAGCAAATTAATTGTCATAAAGCTAAATTGTCAAGGTATTTAACAGCATCTTCCAGATTTTAAATATATAATTAGTAGTCTAATTAAAAATTATTGTTGATTTATGATCCACAACACTGCCTTATCTCATAATCTTAGGAATTGATTTTTATCAACAGTATTTGAAAATTTTGCAAGGGCTCCTAAAAATATTAAAATTCAAATGCCTTAGAAGTTGTACATTAATAATCTAGGCAAAAAGCTTCTGATCACAATATAATAAACCTGATACATTTGATTTAAAATGACAAATGAGTACACAGAAGGGAGAAAAACTGAAAAGTAGAATGACATAAAGGAGAAAGGAGACAAATAGAAACATCATTGAGTTTTCTTCACTATTTCAAATACTGTCCTATGCTTTGGAAAAATTTTGTCACTTTTATACGCAGGAAAAAGATGTTCTCTGAACAAATGAATGGAAAACCTGGTTCCACCTTTTCCTACTTCACTATATATCAAAGGTACTGATGATTTTTCAAACTATTGCTGTTTTAAAATTCTTTCCGTATAAGTTTAAATTAATCTGGTCTAATTATTTAAGAACTCAAGAATTGCTTAAATGTATTGACTATTTTGACTATCACTGCTACCTTGATTATGCTATAGTAACACTACTGACAAAATAATATTTAAGCATTCAATATACAATTTTACCTGTATTTATGCTCAGTATTATCTAGTATTTGTCTCATCATTCATGAATCCACTTCAGAATCTGAAAATACTATAGCCTATTAAAACTAGATGATGTTCTGTTGGTTTACAACCTTCTGCACCACTCAATCATGCAAAAATTAATTATGACAAAATGTGAAAAACATTTAAAATATACTTGAATAACTATTACATTTATATTTCTATTATTTTAGAAATTTCATCAAATTTGTTGATATATTAAGGAACTATATATTCCAACATTGCATTTCTTACACTCTAAAGCATCCTTTTTTTGTTTGTTTGTTTGTTTTTCTCTGGTACCGGGAACCGAACTCACGACCTCGCGCTTGCCAGGCAGGCGCTTTTGCCGCTGAGCTAAATCCCCAGCCCTAAAGCATCCTTTTGAACATTGATACTACTGATGATCATGGTGCTCTTTCTTACCTTCAGCAGATAGACCTTGAACATTTACTCCTCTGGCTGCTAGAAAACTAAGGCAGACATCAACATTTTCAATCTGCAATACGAAAAGCAGTGAAAAAAGTAATTTAGAGGGTTATTTTTGATAAGTACATGAGTGAGAAGGGAACCACAAAGAATGATAAAGAGTGAATATTTTACATTCATTTCATTCTAGAGATCTTTACAAGAGCTTAACCAGAATTATTCTGGCTAATTACAGAGTGAGTACAAAGCTTTCATTGTCCAGTTTAATACTTACAAACAATTCATAAAGGCCTGTCAAGAATGGCATTCTTGCAGAGTAGCAGCCCACCTACTTAACATAAAACTGGATTTGGTGCTTTACAAATAAGTGTCAATGAAAACATACACATCCAATGAGACTGTTACATGTGTGACACTTACAATATTAGATCACGTATAAGTGATATTCAACCAGTAATAATTAACTATTTCAAAAAATGGATAAAATGAAATCAGTGTTGGTACATGAGAGAAATGAGGTATATTTTCATTCTAGACCATAGTAAATTCTCAGAGGTTATATTTTGAAGGGATATTTACTTTTATTTATTTATTTTTGGTTCCAAGAATCGAATTCAGGACCGTGTACTTGCCAGCCAGGCACTTATGCCACTGAGCTATATCCCCAGCCCTTGCAGTTATATTTAAAAGCTTTATTTCTGTAGCTGACTAACGGTGTGATTAAATACAGGTACTTTGCCTTTGCTGTTGTAAAAAAATGCCCATGTTATTTCCAAGGCTTCGGAAAGGTTGCTTTCACTCAGCATGTAATCATTAAAACTGAGAAACAAAAAACACAACGACTAATTTATGTCACATAAAATGTTCATCTCAATAATGGTCATGGATTTAAACAACCAAGACTTCCATGAAAGACCAGAAAACTAGAAAGTCCCAGTTCCTTAACAATATCTTAGTATTTAGAATCATAAAATAAGACATTTAAAATGAAAAACTCTGCACAGTTTTAATTTGTTTTGTCAAGTTTTCATCTAAAACTACTCATGAGGACACAGAACAGTTCTGTCAATGTCCTCTCTAGCTTAGCTTCATTGTAATGTTAAAGTGCCTCTGATTTTCAAAGGAAAAGCAAGTTTCAAGAATCTGTTATTACAAAATGGACCAATTATATGCCTTTTAAAATGCAATTTTCTGCAAAATTAAATTTAAGAAACAATATACGAAGCTCACTTTTTGCTTAAAAATAACCCCAGGCAATTTATACACATTTGCTTTGAGAAAAAAGAAAAGAATATTTATATTAACTCATTTCAAGGTAAGTTTACTTAAATTATTTTACAGGATAAAAGAACAGAGCTGAACATGGTGAATATAATACAACTACAGGAATTTTTGTCCTGCCCATAAGTTTCTGATCATCCAGTGAGGCTGTGGTGCTGAAATGAACATCAGATCTTTTCCTTTCTTCACAGTTCACTTTGCTATTAGAAATTAAGATTAATAAGGACTAAAAGAAGTATTAAAGAGGAGCAGAAATGGCAACAAATTAGATATTCTATTATATCTGTCCAAAGCAATCTTCTAATTTGTTCAAGCCCATTAAATTTTTTTAAATAATCAAGTAATTATTATGGTCTAATATGAAAGAAGAGAATTGGACAGCATATTTTAAGTATTTGCAGTGGTAATTCTGACGTTATTCATTTGACAGCAGTTATATCCCTTTTATAAAAAGTATCCTATTCAATCACATAATTTACTGGAAATGCTAACAGGATGCTATTGCACAAATTTTAGCTACTTTTATGGCAGAAGGTCATGGCAGAGAAAAGTGTCTTAGTTCATGACATTCAGGGAGCAAAGCAGGCAGAAGATCCAGAGAGTAACCAGTAAGGAACAGTGTGCAGTCCCCAAGGCTACACCTCCGTGACCCACTCAGACACACACAAGAGTTTGCTCAATTAACCTCCTGGGCATTCCTTAATCCAAGATAGTTGATTTACCAGGGTGAACAATGTAGTTCACTAGGAGATCTAGAAATGAGTAATAGAGTCTCTAAGTTTGTAAGATAGACGTTTTTTAGCCTACCATTTAACCAACATGGAAGACAGGCTGTTGTGGGAACGGGTGGGAGAAACATACAGTGTTCTCTCCTTTCCTTTTTAGAAAAGGAAAAGAAACAAAAGAGCCCCAAAAGGAGAAAAAATATCCTTCATTGTTTCCAAATCTATTTAAGAGAAATATTTAACTTTTTGGAATATTCTGTATGGTCCTTTATTATGAGCACCAACAAGTTCATATAGTTATTTCCGTTCTCTATCATTATTACAGAAGCTAAAAAATGGCAAGTAAAGAAGTACTACGACATAGTTGTCAATAAGAGAATCAAAGCCTACTTTACTAAACAATATGTGTTTACTGGTCAAAATTAACTTTCCAACAATATAATAGTAAAATGACATAATTTAATATAATGCTCTTAGTCCTACATAATTGCAGTCAATGTAAACATTCATTTGTTCCTGTGCATGGTATGATATACCTATTTATTTTGTTTGCTTTTTAAGAGGTTGTTTGGAACTTGAGTTCTTGCACATGTAGCAAGAACTGTACCAACTGAGCTATATCCCCAGGCTCCTTCACTACACTTTTCACATAATAAAAAAATTTATAATTAACATAAATGACTTTGAAAATTCTTGTTAAATGTCATTTATGTGGTGAGTTTCCTCACCAGGTGCATACTTTAAAATCATTTAAGTGGACTATTTAACAATATATTATGCTTCCATGAATGACTTTTCATTTCAATAAATTCTAAGACCTCTTTGTCATTTCTGCTTTTTAATACATTGCCCTTAAACATTTTGCAATTAAATAGACTTACCATAAATACTGTTTTTTTATATGAAACCACAGTATTTTTTGAATTAAAAATCTCTATTCTTTTTTTTTATTTCTGTGTAAAGAGGTAAAAGTGATTTTGCCATCAAATTGATCCAAGTCACTGAAATCAGTTTTATTTTTCCTCAGTACTGTTTCAGTCAGATAAGAATCAAAATTCAAATCGTAGATGTACATAATTGTACATGCCTACAATCCCAGCACTCAGGAAGGATGAAGTAGGATAACTAAAAGCTTGATTCCTGCCTAGGGGACTTAAAGAGGCCATGGTCTCGGAATGAATGAGCGAATGAATGAATGTAACAAGGAGGTAGATCTTTTGCAAAAGGGAAGAAGATCATGAGATGGGGTAGGGGCGTAGGCCGGCAAGTAAGGAGAGACAGGGGACAGATGTGTTATGTACATATACTAATTCTCTATTATGAACATAATCATTATGTATTACAACCATGGACTGTATACCTATGACCTTGGGTACTATATATGATCCTTTGCCATTTTTGTCTGGTGCTGTTTTCCTGCTCTGTTCTCTAGGTGCCATGAACTGAGCATATTTGCTTCACCATGTCTTTCTGCCATAATGTCTTAACCTTGCAGCCAGCAAACTATATACCAACTCCCCCCAACCTGTGAGCTAAATTGAATATTTTTTCCTTTAAGTTGTGAGCCCTGGGTATGGTGTTGTGAAATGGGAAATCTGACTAATACTAAAAGTTTCTTGGAAGAATTCTTAGCCTTATTAAATACAGGCAACTTTCTGCTAATATTACATATGTTCTGTTTCATATCTTCAGGTGATGTGGTCTCAAGTCACTAATCAAAGACAAAGGTTAGCAGAATGGATCAAGAAACAATATCCAACAACATGGTATATACAATAAACACATTTAATCCCCCTAAAAGTTCATAAACTGAAAGTCAATGTTCATAAAACAATATTTCAGGCAGTAAGAACCTAGCAAAAGCAGGAGTGGCTATACTAACTGCTCACAAAGTAAATGCCAAGCCAAGACTGATCAGAAGAGACAAAAAATGTCACCATCTATTAGTTAAGGATACAAGTCAACAGGAAGATATAACAATTACAAATTTATACACATCAAGTACCGGCACACTTAACTTCACAAAATAAACACTAATGGAAATGAAAAAAAAAATAAGTACAAAAGCAGTTGTAATGGGGAACTTCAATACAGCAGGTCTTCAATTTATGAATGAGCTCCATTCTAGGAGAACATTCATAAGTTAGATACATTTATAAATCCGACAGTTGTTGATCTTTAACGAAGATCTATTGCCAGTATTCCTCAAGTTCTTAATAAAATCAAAAAGGAAGCAATACTCCTAAAGATATTCCTAGAATCCAGCTTTACCTTAATTCTTTTTAAAAATAATTTTATTTTAAAGAAAAAGCAAATAAAATTTTAAAACAAGATGATAGGAGTGTACAATACCATAATTCTAAAACCAGAAAAGGACCCAACCCAAAAAAAAAAAAAAGAAAAAAAAACCCAAGACCTTTAAGGAACATAGATACAAACATCCTTAATAAGATACTGGCAAACAAAATCCAGTGAATTATCAAAAAGATTATACACCATGGCCAAGTAGGACTCATTTCACAGATGCAGGGATGCTTCAAGTACGAAAATCAACAAATATAATACACTACATAGATAGAAGCAAGTACAAAACCACATAATCATTTCAATAGATGAAGGAAAATCATTTGCCAAAATCCAACATACATTCCTGATTTAAAAAAAAAACCTGAAGAAAATAGAAGTGAAAGGACTTTATCTCAGTATCATAAAAGTCATTTAAGACAAACCAATGACCAACGTCATATTAAATGAAGAGAAGCTGAAAGCTTTACCTCTAAAATCACAAACAAGACAAGGATGTCCACTATCACAATTCTTGTTCAATATAGTTCTGAAAACATTAGCCAGTGCAATAAGAGAAATAAATAAAAGGGATATGGAGAGGTAAGGAAGAAGTTACGTTATCATTATTAGCTGCTGACATGATATTCTATGAAGAAAACGCAACCAAAAAATCCTAGAGTTGATAACCATATTCAGTAGCATAGCAGGATAGAAAATCTACACTAAAAAACTAATAGCATTCTTGTACATATTTCATTCAATCTAATTTCTAAAAGTA